GGGCGGCATTCAATGCCGCCCTATGAAGAATGCAATTGGTGCAGCGCGAAACCACGCATGTGCACCACATCGTGATGACGCTTCTCAAGGAGAAGAGTCCTATTGGGCCCTGCGAAAAAGGGGGCGTGCCTTAGCGGGGAGCTCAGCACTGGAACGGAGGTAAGTTTTATTATTAAAACTTACTTGGATTTATTTATTTTTTATGACAAGTTCATATAAAAGCAAGAAAGAAGGCTGGGGACCTGTCTTTCTTGCTTTTATATGTTGACTATAGTGTCCCTTTAAAGGGATAATATTCAAGAATTCCTTGAGAAGAACATGGCTATCAGCAAAAATCAGCATGGTTTTATGAAGCACAGGTCATGTCAAACTAACTTGATTGCGTTCTACGAAGAAGTAAGTAGAAGTATAGATCAGGGTGTTGCCGTGGATGTGATCTATTTGGATTTTGCCAAGGCATTTGATACAGTTCCACACAATAGATTAGTGTTCAAACTCAAGGAAATCGGTCTAGATGAAAATGCTTGTTCTTGGGTAGAACATTGGCTTAAAAACAGAGTACAAAGAGTTGTCATTAATGGTAAATTTTCAAGGTGGACAGAGGTGGCAAGTGGTGTCCCTCAGGGGTCTGTTCTGGGACCCCTTCTATTTAACATGTTTATAAATGATCTTGAAGACCGCATTGAAAGTCATGTTTCAGTGTTTGCAGATGACACCAAACTTTGTAAAACAATACAATGTGAGCAAGATATTACTTTGCTGCAGAGGGATTTAGATAGACTGGGGGACTGGGCACTCAAATGGCAGATGAAATTCAATGTTGAAAAATGCAAAGTTATGCACTTCGGTGTAAAGAATACACAAGCAACATATACCCTTAATGGAAGCGAATTAGGGGTAACAACACACGAAAAGGACTTGGGAATTGTTATAGACAACAAACTATGCAACAATGTGCAATGTCAATCAGCAGTGGCCAACGCCAGTAAGGTATTGTCATGCATGAAAAACGGCATTCATTCTCGGGACGAGAATATCACTCTGCCTCTTTATAAATCACTGGTAAGACCACATATTGAATATGCTGTGCAATATTGGGCACATGTTCTAAAGAAGGATATTATGGCACTAGAAAAAGTGCAGAGGCGGGCTACAAAATTAATAAAAGGAATGGAACATATCAGCTATGAAGACAGGTTAACAAATTTAAACCTATTTAGTTTAGAAAAACATCGCCTGAGAGGGGATATGATAACATTATACAAATATATTCGGGGCCAATACAAACCATTGTGTGGAAATCTATTCACAAACCGGACTTTACATAGGAAACGAGGTCATGCGTTTAGACTGGAAGAAAGAAGATTTCGTCTAAGGCAAAGGAAAGGTTTTTTTTTACTGTAATTCTCCGCCTCAAGAAGTGGTTTAATCAGAGTCCATACAGATGTTCAAACAGCTACTAGATGCATACTTGCAAAAACAGAATATTCAAGGATATAATCTTTCAATGTAGGGCAATAACTGCTTGATCCAAGGATAAATCTGACTGCCATTCTAGGGTCAAGAAGGAATTTTTTTCCTAGCTAGTTACAAAATTGTGCTTCAAACTGGGTTTTTTTGCCTTCTTTTGGATCAACAACAAAAAACAAATGTGAGGAAGGCTGAACTTGATGGACGCAAGTCTCTTTTCAGCTATGTAACTATGTAACCATGGGTTGGGAAATCCTGTTTTAGATTATGACGGGCCCCTGTCAGAGCGCCGCCTGGAGCTGTGGCTCCACCGTGGCCTATGGACAGCCGGCCCTGCCTCTAGGTCACTCAGACGACCACTAGAGGTGCTTTCAATCTTAGGGTATCCAAATTCTGCGTGGAGAAGCTGAATGTTTCCTATAGAGATGAATTGATTCAATGCATCTCTATCAGTGTTAATTTTGTCGACTAAAACAAGTCAAATTACTAAAACGGCCTTTTAGTTAAAAGACTATGACTAAAACTAAATTGAAATTTGCTGCCAAAATTAACACTGATCTCTATGAGGAGATGCTGACTGGCGCAGCGTATTGTAGCACATGTCTAATCGCCTCCCAATGCTTTCCTATTGGAAAGACTTGGATTCGCTGAGATTGTCAAGATTGATGATCTCAGCCATGGCAAGACCAGCACAGCAATGGACAAAAGGTAAGTAAAAACATTGTATTCCAATTTGAGGGGGCCTGGGTACCAAAACAGGTACAACAGCACTAAAGTGTTAGGAAGACACGTTTGTATATCTAACACTAATTGTGCCTTTAATAAATCCCAAGTTCAAAGACCTGCACAAAAGAATGATGTAACTTATGCCCTTACAATTAGAGAGACGATACAAATATCAAACTGCTGATTAAAGCAGAGAGCCACAGCACAGGGTCTATTCTCGAATTACATGGTGGCCAAACACAAAAACAGGGAGAAGAGCATATGTGCTGTGGTAGCTAAAATATATATGAAAATAAGACTCGCTCAAAGATCTTATTACAGTGGCTAAGCAAACATCGTGGGTTACGAGACTGGCATGGATTCCCAATATACAAATATCAGCTGGTTTTAATTGCTAAAACAGTACTGCTAGTACGCAGAGTAGCTGGCAGCCATGTGTCAGATTGCGGACATCCAACACATTTTTCCAGACCAGCTGGCGTCTTCAGTAATGTCGAATATAGTTACTAGATCGGGCTCTGTTCACTAAATAGCGAGCTTTGAGAACGGTCGGACAAAATGAAGGTTAAAATTGTAGAGCTGGATAAAGTCGATAAGCCAGGAGTTATTTACCTTATTTTCTTTTACCATTTTTCGGTCCAAATGTTTGTAAATCATTTCTCCAGTCATGCATTAGTGAATATGCTCCATTCTCTTTCCAATATTCCATGATAAATAAAAAAAAAAAATGATTAGCAGTTATGTGTCAAGCTTGTACATTAGAAGTTTGAGTTAGTTATCCACTCTGTGGGAAGAATCTGGCTGTGCAATAATTTCTAAATTGGTGGAACCCCCATTACATTACCCTTCAAGAATGATTATGGCACGCAGCCTTCCTTTCTAAATTCTGAAGGCAGAGATTGCAATACTGGAGTCTCCACGGTGAAGAGATCTGGTCCAAATTTACAAATTATCCTTTTATAATTACATAGCGATAGTGGCTGGAAAAACAAGACTTAAGAGAATCACGTTTGGGCTTTTACATATCTGCATAGCTGCTGCTGATGATCCAAAAGGAGGTAAAAAAAAATTGGAGGAGATTTATAATTTTATCAGAAATTGGGGGGAATCCTTCTTCTTGACTTCAGATTTCACTTTGGATCAACACACATATTCAACACAATATACTTAAATCAAAGTAATCCCAACCTTTGTTTTTACTGAAAAAAAACCAAAAAACATTGAAATCTAAATGTGTCATCTTGTCCTTTGGACAGTCTCAATTATGAGCAAACTACCAGAGATATGTTTGTAGTACTATATACATTTATATAATGTTATTATATCCCCGATTCTGGAGCTCGCCTCTGCATATTCATAACGTCCTTCTTTAGAACAGGTGCCCAAACTAGTACTATGTATTCAAGGTGGGGTCTTGCCATTGATTTCTAAACAGGCAAATTATATTTTTGTCCCATAAATTAGTACACCTTTGTATGCATATTGGACTTAGCAGCTGCTGCCTAGTGTGTTGTCTATAACTATTCCAAGTTTGTCATTTATAGTTTTCCCTATTTCTGCATCAATTAGGGTGCAAGTTGCTTTGTGTTGCCCACCCCAAAATGCTTAAAGGATCACTATAGGGTCAGGAACACAAACATGTATTCCCAACCCTATAGTGTTGACACCAGCATCTTGCCCCCCGGGCCCCTCATGCCTCCATAAATATAGCACAATCTTACTGTATTCAAGCCTGAAGTTGTAACTCTGCATGCTATTAGACTCCGAAAAACAAGCAGTCTGCTGACATCATTAGAAGTGGTGGCCTGATCCAATCACAGTGCTTCCCCATAGGATTGGGTGAGACTGACAGAGAGGCAGAGCCAGCATGATTCAAACAGAGCCCTGACCAATCAGCATCTCCTCATAGAGATGAACTGAATCAATGAATCTCTATGAGGAAAGTTCAGTGTCTGCATGCAGAGGGAGGAGATACTGAATGTTTGGATGCATTTTAGGCAGCCATGACCCAGGAAGGATCTCTAATAGCTATCTGAGTAGTGGCCAGTAAAGAAATCACTAGGCTGTAATGTAAACACTGCATTTTCTCAGAAAAGACAGTGTTTACAGCAAAAGCCTGAAGGGAATGATTCTACTCACTAGAACACATTCAATAAGCTGTAGTTGTTCTGGTGACATTAGTGTACCTTTAACTTTGCATTTATCTACATTAAATTTAATCTGCTGCTTAGTTGTCTAAATTTGTCCAGATCCTTTTGCAGCAAAGTGATATCCTGCTACCTTACCTAGTTTTGAGTCACCTGCAAACACTGACACGTTTCAGTGTCTGACAAAGATCATTTGGAGACCATCACCAGCACAATAAAAAAAAAAAAAAAAACCTGATTTTACTGGTGGCTGTCTGAGAGGTTTGTAATATTATGGGATGGGATCATTAAGCCTCACTCTTCAAATGCTTCTCTGTGAGCCTTTTGTGGCCTTACCTTTGGTTTCCATGTCTCCTTTCATAGCCTATACCCATTCATCTCTATCATTCATTCTACTACATCTCACTAATAAACTTTGAAAATATAGCTGAAAGCTACAGCATTGCATAAGGCTTGTGGCCACAACACACCTCCTACTACCCTCTAATCCTTCATCTACCGTTTTATGGAGATGGACATTTCTCATCCTTCATAAAATGTATTATTTCAAAGTTATTTTCCATGTTTGATGTGGTTTCATACTGAACATTTTCATCTATTTTTTTTTCAATGAATGTTGAAAGATAAAATTTATCCACAGAAGACACAAAACCTTAGTAAGAAGAAAAATAAAATAAATTTATTAACAAAAAAAAAACTAGGAAGTTACAAAGCATTGTTCACAAATATATTACAAAAACACAACGTTTTCCAGTGATTAAACAGACAGAGTAAGAGGTCAAGAAGAGGGAGTTATCATCTAGAAAGGTCATTTGCTAGAAGGAAGAAGTTAGGAGTGCTCGGCTAGCGAACACTTTGTCTATATTAAGTGATAAAAGAGGGACTAAAAAACAGAAATGACTGCTTTATGGGAAGCATTTAACCATCTGAAATTGCTGCGTTTAAAAAAAAAGGACACTCCAAACATCATAACGCTTTAGCTTATGGTACGGTCTTTGTGCAGTCTGGCTATTGTCAAGCCATTTTCGTCTGGCTTAGAAAAAAAAAAGAATTCCACCTACTTACTGTGTGAAATCCAACTTCCTCGGAGCAATGAGGTATAGTGCAATTTGGCCTCTGGTTTTTACAATTAATGAGAAAGTTAGATCACCCCAGAATGAGACTGCTGGGGACTCAGCAGGATTTGGTCTAACCATTGAAACATAGACAAAATTCTAAATGGCAGCACCCACATCTCTTAGAACCATAACCACTACAGTAAACAATTGTGGGCACGGCTCTAGAAATGACAATTTTACCCACTTGCTATACATAGGATTTATCACGTAGCACTTCTAATAATAAATATAAATAGTTCACCAAAAGATTTTTGGTAAAAGTACTGCATATAACAACAAATTTTGAGTAAATAAATGACCTAATTATTCTTGAAAGAAGTGCAAAGATTAAAAAAAGAATTCTCTCTATAATTCTACCCCCATAAAATAAAATACTAAAATAATAGGTAAGGATATTTTTTAAGCAAACTTTTTTTTGGTCCTCCACAATATATATATATTTATTATTTTTTTTAAATAAATGTCTCACAAAAACAAAAAAGGTAAAAGTTTGTGATTTATAAAAAGAGAGTAAATGCCAGGAATGTATGTCTGAGAGGTTGGAATCGGAATATTAACAGTAGGAAGTGTGTAACAGGCAATCAGGGGAAGACAAGTTAATAATTCACAGGCGTACTGAAAGAGTAACTAAACTTTAAAAATAACATTACGTTTATAAAAAAAAAAAAAAAAGTGCATCAGACATTTTTAATGTATATGGGAATCAAAATAATCTTGGAGTATCAGATCTCATTCCTTCAGACACTGGCTGAAAAGACTCACTTATTAGAGAAATCCCAATGAAAACAAAACAAATAAACCGAATTCACTAAATTGGGAACGGTGAAGAATTGACAAGGAAATTTCAATTTTAGGTGCCAATAACCAAACTTGAAAAATCCTCTGCACGATTTAAAACTTGCAAATGCCTTGTCAATTCTTCACGATTCAGTTTCAGTAAATAACTCCAAAATGTCTCAGCTAGGGAGCAATATTCTTCACTCACTTTTCTCATATGTCCAAACGTGTTTTGTTGGAATTAATAATTTTGTATTTGTTTATCTACTGTACCGCCCTGTGGAATAAGTTGGCGCTATAAAAATCATTGTAACAGCAATGACCTGGTATAACCTCATATTGAAGTATAAAGGACTGGAGGGTTGGGTGAACACAGCATGGGCTTTGAGAAATTGAATTTCATGTTCCATGACCTGAGAAGCATTGCAAAAATAGCTGCTGATTCAATAAGAAGACAAAATACTATTTTTAAAGCTTAGTAGCATTTGAAAAGAACAGCATCACATTAAGTCCAGTTTATCTGAAAGTAATCAAAAGTATGTAGAAACATGCCTATTTTTACTTTTAATGTAACATTATCTCTGCACTTCACCGCATAGCAAAAGCTGCCGTTAGTTACATGATTTTAACACCAGCTTTATTCTGATTGGCTGCCAAACAAATTACTGACAACCTATCGAAACGCAATGCTTTGTGCTGCAGTAAAAAGTAAATCAGGCAGGTCTCATAGTTTGCCATTTTAAATATAGTCCATATTAAGGAGAACGGATCATTTAATATTTTATATGTAATTATTCCCTTGATGAAAAACTATTTAAGAGACATCTTTACTGCTCAAGAAATTGATTATGGAATGATTTCAGTGCTGACCCCATACAGGAGCGCAGTCCGGTACCCACCAGAGGTAAAATATTCATAAACAATAGGAGGTGGGACACAGACTGCTAACCCCAATTTCTTGCTGGAGAGATGTCAAGCAAAAATCACAATTCTGCTGTAACTTATAACTGAAATACAACATAGAAACGCGAGGCTATAAAAAGAACAACTCATTAAAAAAAACGCTATTTCCTTCACAACTTCTAAATGCGTCATTACATTGTTAACGTCTTTAGTATCAAATAGGTAAGCCAAGCTTTATATGGTAAAGCACTGTTCATCTCTGGCAGTGAATAAGTCAAGGATGCAAAACTCTATTGGATGCATTGGCTTCCCTAAAATTCTGTAGAAACAGAAAGGGGGATGTTGTGTTGCACAGGTGCAGTTGCGATATATTACTCCTAGGTCAAGTTCAGCAAGCTCCACAAGGATTTAGGGTGATAAGATAATTTTTAGTTAGAGGCAGAGTTAGTTGGTAACATGTTATTTATAATAAAAAAAAAACAAAAAAACTTGAAAACCCGGAAAGTAAACGGCCATTAAGTAGTAACATGGGATCGCCCTTCCAAAACGCACTGTTGTAGAGGCATTTAAATTGAGACACCTGCACAAAAGTCTAGAATTCAACCTTAATTCACAACACAAGGATTTTAAAATATGATGCAACGGTTGCTTGGAGTTGCTCTCGAATACCTATTTGACCCAGACTCATAAGGACAACTGCAGCTATGCCTATATAAGCACTGGAGAGAAACCTCACATTGACAATGCCTCTGAGAACAAGAGTCCCTCTGCAGATATAGCATCACCTAGACCCACTGTCCTAACAGGCTGCTTGCAGATAAGAACAGGTGTGAAGTAAAAGGTGATGTCTCCTCTTTTCCATGTGGCTACGGGTTCCTTTGCAGTCACCTTAATAGTGCTGCCCTCTTCAGCTCGAGAGGAGGAAAACTCAAGCGGGCTCTTCAACATCACTCTAGCTGGATCAATGGTTTTACTTGCACAAGCCTGGGCACCAGCAACTCTGGCACCAGCAGCTACTGCAGATACTTGATTGGCCCAGAACCCATCAATGGTGGCCAGAATGTGGTAAGCCAAAGTGTGAAAGTGAACTCGTGTCAGGGTGGAGGCTCCTTGGTGATACCCTTGAAGGATCCAGAATATAATGTCACTGACCATTCCAACATCTGGGATTCCGGACCACGCTTGCAAGGAAGAATGAGGGCCGGCAGCAGACTGGCTGAGAAACAGAAGTTCCTGTTCGTTGAGTCCCACAGAACTGATCAGAGGGAAGACCTGCTGACCAAGAGAAGAATGGAGACGATATAAAAATCAATAAAAAATAAAAAAAAGGAGGACCTGCCTCTATTCTCATAGTGAAAAATAAGAATAACGTCATAATGTTAATTAGATCTACTTTGGATCTGGTCAAAAATAAAGATAAAATATATATATATATATAAGGTATAAAATTAAAATAGGAGGATTACCTCCATGGATGCAATAGTGACACCAATACACTGATCATTTGTGGGTATCAGTAGCTCTAAAGTAATCAAAATAAGTCCTCCTGGACCAAAGGATTAGTTTTTCAACCAAGTAGTTCCACCTGTTCTGTCTCCAGCCTATAATTTGTGATGGCTAACCTCCTGGTGATCACTCACCGAGTTAGGTCTTGGGGAAAAAGCCCACCCATCTAGCAAACAACGAGAACAACAGAAATAAAAATAAATTCTAACCTAAGCTGCATACTATAAAATTACGGTGTCAACTGAAAGTGCAAAAGGTAAAAGGATGGGAAGTGTATTTATCAAGAACAATTAAGCTCTTCCCCTATTGAGAGGCTGGCCAAATACTACACGTGAGCTCCTGAAATGATCCCATCAAATCTCTCACAGTACGTCTCTCGGCTTGTTACCTGGTAGATAATGCCTCTCATCAGGTCACCATCAGTCATACTGGCCAATTCCAGGTGAATGATGATATCAGAAGGAATATCTGAAATAGATGATGCAGCCTAGGAGGACAGAAATTACAAATAAACAATACATTCAAATGTACAAATAAAATAAAGGATTATTTTGTCCACAAGGCAGTCAATTATAAATAGTACTTCGGATACTAGTACAAGACTACTGTTTTAATTGATTGACAGTCAGTGGCGGATCCAGAGCCTGAACTCGGGAGGGGCACGTGTAGATTATTTAAATAAATAATCCAGACACAATAACCACTACAGCTCTGTGTAGTGGTTATGGTGCCAGGACCCCCTCCCAGAGTAAGTAGTCAAACCGTTTAATAACAGTATGACGGGGTGGGGTGGTGGTGTGTGTGTGTCCCCAAAACCAAGCACCAAAACCACTACATTATAATGCTGTCCCTTTATTATGACAATTGCATGTTATTGCTTGCACAGGGCAACATGTTCTGACTTTTCAATGGACCCTAGAAGTCTGTCCAGAATTTAGAACTTTTGGTTTTTACTTGCAATCCCAAACACTACAAATTATTTGTAGTGTTTGGGTGGGGGCTAAAAAAATAATGCCCAATAGGGCATCATTCGGTTTTTTTTTGTTTTTTTTCTAGTAATAAGGTTATGAGTAACCTTTTAATTTTACAGAAACTGAACAGTCCTAGGGAGACAAATTTTATATATCATAAAGTCAAGCTGAAGATGCGATGGTGTACTGTGCTCTTCTTAACTCACTTCTTTTAACCTGGCTTCCCTGTTCTCACGGCTTAGACCTTCCATCATATGGAGCCCAGACAAGACCAGTAAGTTTGGCTGGAACTCTTCCAGGCTGGCTAGAAGGACTTCTAGTGATGTCATTGCTCCATTGGACAGGTCATGAGAGAAGATAAACCTGTTGGCGGTTGGAGCACGGCTAGATCCCCAGTTTTCTCCTATAAATGGAAACAGACAGCTTAATACACTGATACGTAATAAACTATGAAACTACAAAAGCAACTCTCTCTGCTTACATCACTCTGTAGCATTCTCAAGGTACCACCCAACGATGACGTGCAGCAGCCTCGTACACACAGACACTCGTAGAATACATGGATTTTACCTGCTTTGTACTCCAATATCAAATGAAACTCGTCCTGTTCCTGCAAGGATGCGGAGGGCACCAACACTCGCTCATCCAGCAGTTCATGAAGTTTGGGGCCAAATGGACCACAAAGAAGAACCTGGAGTTAATTTTGTAGAAAGGTATTTGTGTTATTAATAAATTAATAGATGAAATATGGAGACAGAGAGACCAGCCTGAAAGCAGAAACACAGGTCAAATTTACCTCCATGCCTGGGTGTGCTGCCATTCTCTGAGCGATGAGAGCTGCATTACCCCCTACAAAGTGCTGTAGTAAGTGGAAAAAAAATTTAAAATAAATAAGTTAGGAAAATGTATGGAAGAGTTACGTTAAAATAGCTGGTTTTCTAATAATGCGGACATGTCACCAAAACCCGCTTACTTCAAGGCAAAACACTTGTTAAGAACGTTCTGGCTGCTCTGGAGTTTAACATAGAATTAGTCAATGCCCGTGTTGTATTTAAGAAGAACTGTTGCAATTCATTTGGTGAAAGTTCCTCTTTTACTCAACTCATAAGACACTGCTGAAATACTTAGTAGTTTCAGCTGTGGGGCCCGGTCGTGTACAAAACATATTCCTCCAGTGTTCTTTGGGGGAAATTGTCATTACCATGTTCTGCAAGTCTATGCACATGGTCCAAGCCACATGCAGAAACTCCCAGGGACATTTGCATTGTACACCAGGTTTGATGCAACTTCAAATGTTGAGTTAATGATTTAATCCCTGCTTAGACCAAGGAAAAGTACTGACATTTATTTTCTAAGAAAATGACCATAGTTGATGTAACTGGATCACCCGACTCTAGGTCAATAATTATAATGAAAGAAATGGACAAACAAAACGTACACAACCTAAATAATTTCATATAAAACTAATTTAACTTATGAAACTGTTAATTGCATTTTCTATTTGTATCATAGTCTGAGTTCCAATCACTGGAGCCAGTACGTTCCCTTCGCCAGACATGTAAAAGGAGATGGCATGCACTATGAATCAGAAAAGAAAAGAATCTATATGCCAGCACCCGGAACATACTATTTACTTATTAAATTAACAGGTCTTCTAGGACAGGGTGTGACAAATTTGCTTTGAATCTAGAAGCCAGCTAAAAAAAAAAGTTAGGAGACATTTTTTTTTTTAAACTTACAAAGCTTTATATTCCACGACAAAAATGCAATTCTTAAAGGGACACGATAGTCACTGGGACCACTACAGCTTAATGTAGTGTTTCTGGTGCCCCTGTAGATGTTTCAATGTAAACACTGCCTTTTCATAGAAAAGGCAGTGTTTACATTGCTTCCTAGTGACACCTCTAGTGACCGTCACTCAGACGGTCACTAGAGGTGGTTCCTGTGTTGGTGCTGCACAGTGTACAGTACCTACATTCAGCATTTCCATTTTTTTGCAGCCAATTTTATGGGAAAACATCGGATTGGCTGAGATAATCAAGCATGATAATCTCAGCCATAGAGGCGAGACCAGCAGGGCGTGAGAGAAAAGGCGAATAAAAACACCTTTCCCTTGCGAACAGAAGGGGCCTGGTCACCTAAACATAGACATCATGACACACGCATACATACAACCAGGACAAACAGACACGCATACCATGAGAGACACTATGACACACACACATTATTGCTTTTAATACTTGTGGGGTCCAGTGGGCGAAAGACTGGGGGATTGTGCAGACGGGCAACATGCTGGAGAATTATGGAGGCGGGCGGCATGCTGGAGGATGAAACAGGCAAGCGACAAGCTGGGGGATTTTGTAGGAAGGCGGCTTGCTGGGTGGTCATGGAGGTAGGCGGTGAGTTAGCTGTGATGTCCTTGCTCTGCTCCCCCGCGCGTCGCTTATTGAGAACTGTCCCGGAACATGACGTCACATTCAGGACTTGGTCTCATTAAGCAGCCATGCGGGGGAGCAGAGCAAGGACGCCCTCCTACTATTCACGCAGATAGCCGCCCGCCTTCCTACAAAATCCCCCAGCTTGCCATCCGCCTTGGATTTAAGGGGCTCGCATATCCCAGGTGCCAAGGCAAAATTCCCAAGCGCCATGGCGACTGGGATTTGTCGAGCCCTGCTCTGGAAAAGGACATTACAAAAGCCAAAACTTCTAGAACAGCAAACCTAGTAACAGCAGTTGTAGATGTTTCCCATAGCATTAAAAAGACACTATAGTCACCAACACAACTATATGTATTCCTAACGCTATAGAACCCTAGTCACCTAAACAGTGACTAGGGCCCCATTCCGCGGCGAATAAATGGTTAATTACCCATTTATTTGCTTACCTTAATCCAGCGCCGGGCTCCCTCGGTACTCGTGACCTCTCCTCCCTCGAGGTCATCTTCCGAGTGGAGCCGAATGCGCATTCAAATCCGCCCATAGGAAAGCATTACTCAATGCTTTCCTATGGGGATCTTTTTTGACACTGGACTCCGTGAGGACATCGAGTCAATCGTGTCAAATAAGTGCGATTTATTCAGTGTAAATCGCGGAAGCGGCCTCTAGCGGCTGGATTAACCCTGCAATGGAAACATAGAAGTTTCTCTATAGACGTAGAGCCAAAAGTAAGTTGCACATGCCCAGAGGATTCAGTAACTCAGTCGTCTTTATACAAGGCCTGTACGAAAGTCTAAAAAGGAGAAAACCTACAGATTGTAATACAGGTCACATGCGACACACAATGTTACGGTAACGTGTTCTACCTGGGCCGCAGGATTCTTGGAGGCAGTGCTGGAAATGTGCTGGAAGCTGACGGCATCACTATAGAACCGCTCGGCAGCCGCCCCTCGCTGCATATAGTGCATGAAGGTGCTGGCAAGTTCTTCCAGATTGTTCAGGACTGCATGATCACCTGCGGACTGGGGGCTTAAACCCAACGCCTGCAACAAACTCACCCCAGAAAGTACTACATCCACACAGGCGTTCACCCTGCAAGGAGACCGTAAAGGAAAAACAGTTCTTAGAACAAATTTGTAGTTGTGACAACATATCAACTGAAAATGTTCGTCTGCTAACAGTTCAATGGGAAATGTGAACTCTGCCAGCAGTCAGTAAATGGAGCAGCCTGATACTCACGCTCTTCCTGTCGACGTATCCATTATTACAGTTTATATGGCTGGCTGGGTATTTCTGGGCTCATATGATAGAATGGGGTTAGATGAGTGGCTTAAAGGAACACTATAGGCACCTAGAAGACTGCCACTCATTGAGACGATCTGGGTGCAGTGTTCCCTGTCCCTCTTAGTCCCGAAATTGAACACATTGCAGTTTTTGAGAAACTGCAATAATTGCATTGCAATACTAAGACAGCCACTAGAGGCGCTTCCAGGATTCTAAACTATGAGGAAGGTCCTCACACTCTGCATGAGGACATTCTTGCCATACGAAAGCATTGAAGCAATGTTTTCCTAAGGGGAGGGCCTGATGTGCCCGAGGGACATCGGCGCTGGATTCGGGTGAGTAAATAAAAGGTTGTTTTAACCATTTATCTGTTGGAGGAGGAGGGAGCACAAAGGAGGGGAGGACAAGTACAGATTTGTATTCCCAACACTATAGAATCCCTTTAATCCAAATCAAGTATGTCAGACTCAGTGAAGCCATTCTTGCAGAATGGTCAACCCAAATCTCATCTTCTCTGTCATTGAAGGTAGCCTGGAGGTAGGCATAGCAGCTTATTCATTAAACACTAAATAGAAATGAATCCCAAATGCAAAATTAAGGCGAAATAGCCGAGTTGTGACTCTAGCAGTGTTGGTGAATATTTCCAAATTCAATTTCCCATTTGGCGTTGAATGAATAAATACTACTGTGGTTTATGGAAGCCATGCAGAACATATCTGCACGGGTGATCCAGTCATCTCTTATGTGGCATTAAAAAATCAATGTATCTCAATATTGTCTGTGGACCTGTTAGCACAATTAGACTCTGGGGAACAAGCAGTCACGGTTGCCTAGTTGCCAGGAGAAGCAGCAGCCAGGACAGGTGTGTTCTTGTACTTCCCTCTTAACGAAGGTGGAGGAGTCCATGTCCATCTGGCTAATTCGTTCTTGCTCGTCCAGTTGACTGACACTCCGGTTGATGCAGCAGAAGTTCACAACAATCCAAGTCTGAACCAGAAGCACACAAGTGGTTCTGGTGTCAGACAACCAGACAGGATTATTCATTAAAATTGGAATATTGGAGAATTTGACCAGAGAATGTATACATATTTTCAGATGAATAGCCAAAATGGACACATTCTCCAACGTATTACTTCCAGCTATTTTTTTTTAATGTAACTGGGCACAAGCATATAGAGCCAAAGTGTTATTACAGATTCCTGCTGATATTTGAGTGAATATACCTGTCCGATTAAAATCGTACATGTTGCAACACGAGGGACGGCTGTTAAAACCATACAAATATTTTTTTTTTTTTGTGAATATAATTTTTATTCATTTTGCATATATTAATGTTCGGTGAGACGTGCAGATCTCCATTGTATGCTATTATAAAAGGTAACAAGTTAGGCTCGCAGGCCCCATCGCAGAAGGACTCGCAGGTCCCCATTTTCTGGTATTTACATTTGTTTGGGAATATAAGTTAAATAACGTTTTCATGAACTGGGTGAACATTATGCCTTGTAATCGTCCTTGAACCGTATTAATCAGTCCTTGATTAGGTGTCAGTGTTTGTAGGCTACCCCTATGGCCCCTGTCAACGGGCATCTCACAGGGCCCTGTGTCCTTAGCTATGTGGCATCGTCCGTGGTGGGCTTGTGTTTTCCCCCGTTATTACTATCGGTGTTTCCCGTGTTTAACCAGGGGTATGGTGGTATTGCGGTTAGGGGGTACTCTTACATTGGGTGTGTGGATACTGCATTAGCCGTGTCATTGCCGGGCCTGTCCAGGGTTACCTCAGGTGTTCGCATGTTTTGGCTTTGGGGTGACGTCCCGGGCTGGTCTGGACGTATGTACCAGCTCGTGTTTGTTGACCGTTCCTAATTATGGTTTCCCTTGTCGCTATGGGTGCGGTGGGGATGATGCAGTCAATGATGATGCTCTGGTATTTCGAAGGGAGTAGGGGAATGCGTCGGGGTGGGAAGAAAGGAAAACAAATATTTTATTTTTATCACTATATCTAGTTATCGTTTTCTTTTTAATGTACCACCTTCTGCCAACAACACTCTTTATTAACTGAACTCACACCCATGAGCAGAAACGATTTGCTTGGCCCTTGCTGAAAGCTTTGCATAGAAACCGACAATAGCTGGTAAGGTCATAGCAAATCTTGCCACCCACTCCCCAATGCCAAATGCTATTTTACTATGCTTTTCATGGGCAACTCAGTGATAATAGGTCAAATGTAGCCCACCAGATATTATTGAACTACAATACCCACGATGCTTTGAAAATCTGAATGGAAAAAGAGCAAAGGGATTTTAGGAGTTGCCCAGCAAGAAAGCCAATTAATTTATTATATAAATATATATATTATTTATATATACACAAAACATTTATTTCAACAACTGAATATTAACTTTTTTGCAAAGCACTGAGGCGGTGGGCTCGAAGTCAGAAATCCTCAAAATACCTGCAAGATGGGCATAGCATTGATTATTATTTTGTTATTTATATAGCGCCAGCAAATTCCGTAGCGCTGTACAATGGGTGGACTAACAGACATGTAGTTGTAACCAGACAAATGGACGCACAGGAACAGAGGGGTTGAGGGCCCTGCTCAATGAGCTTACATGCTAGAGGGAGTGGGGTATAGTGACACAAAGGGTATAAGTAGGGGTAATGAAACAGGTTGCTAGAAAAGTATTCACTGAGAACTTATTTTTGACAGTTGCAGGAGAGGAGCCCTATATCTAACTGCAAGACAATGTAGGGACTGACAGAGGGGGGAGGCGTGTGCGCACAGGGAAATGAGCCTGGCCGCCGCATTTATTATTGATTGCAGCGCTGCAATCTGGGATTGATAACATACACCCATTGATCCACTGCAAAAAGATCGTAGGACAAACCAGACATTAAAGTGTTTATTCAATAAACACCAAATTGTAAGGATTAAGATCTGAATTGCGACTTGTTACAATTTAGAATTCAAGTGTATTACAAGTATTCCATTGAGTCCCAAGGTTTGACTCACCCTGTAATTATTCTAAACACAGGTTTACTTGTACACATTATTCACAATGTACTCACCCTATGGCCACCTTCCCCCATTGCTTTCTGGGTTCCACTATGAGACTGTCCCATGCAGATGAGAGGCCTTCTTCAAAACTTGGAGAGGAGGAAAACTTCAAACAGGGAAGGCTTTTTACAGAGTCCGAGAGGTAGCTCAGAGTGTCCTCAGTAATGCCAGGATACAGGCGGTGGACCAAACCACATGCAAAAGCCAACAAACACACACTCACAGCCTTCGCCCACATTATCCCCAAATCAAGGGGACAGGATTACAGCCTGGTCAAGTCAACTGCATACAGTAAGAGCCCAGTACCCCAATGTGTACCAACCTGACACAGTGCCAGTGACCTGGGCTATGGGTGATGATATCAATGATAATGTAACACCCAGACTAATGAGAGCTAAATACCCCACTGTGTACCAACCTGACACTGGGTGATGATATCAATGATAACGTAACACCCAGACTAATGAGAGCTAAATACCCCACTGTGTACCAACCTGTTACAGTGCCAGTCACCTGGTATTGGGGGATTATATCAATATAATTATAACTCCCACACCTAGCATTCACAGAATGACTGATACTCACAGAATGGCTGGTACTATAACCCCCACACCCAGCACTCACAGAATGGCTGATACTATAACTCCCACACACCAGCACTCACAGAATGGCTGATACTATAACTCCCACACACCAGCACTCACAGAATGGCTGATACTATAACTCCCACACACCAGCACTCACAGAATGGCTGATACTATAACTCCCACACACCAGCACTCACAGAATGGCTGGTACTATAACCCCCACGCCCAGCACTCACAGAATGGCTGATACTATAACTCCCACACCCAGCACTCACAGAATGGCTGATACTATAACTCCCACACACCAGCACTCACAGAATGGCTGGTACAATAACCCCCACGCCCAGCACTCACAGAATGGCTGATACTATAACTCCCACACCCAGCACTCACAGAATGACTGGTACTATAACCCCCACGCCCAGCACTCACAGAATGACTGATAATATAACTCCCACACCCAGCACTCACAGAATGGCTGATACTATAACTCCCACACCCAGCACTCACAGAATGGCTGGTACTATAACTCCCACACACCAGCACTCACAGAATGGCTGGTACCATAACCCCCACACCCAGCACTCGGGCCAGAAATTCTATTGGATACTATAGTTCCCACACCCAGCACCTCAAGAATGGGTCATTGATACTATAACTCCCTACACCCAGCACTCACAGAATGGCTGATACTATAACCCCCACGCCCAGCACTCACAGAATGGCTGATACTATAACTCCCACGCCCAGCACTCACAGAATGGCTGATACTATAACCCCCACGCCCAGCACTCACAGAATGGCTGATACTATAACTCCCACACCCAGCACTCACAGAATGGCTGGTACTATAACCCCCACACCCAGCACTCACAGAATGGCTGATACTATAACTCCCACACCCAGCACTCACAGAATGGCTGATACTATAACTCCCACACCCAGCACTCACAGAATGGCTGATACTATAACTCCCACACCCAGCACTCACAGAATGGCTGATACTATAACCCCCACGCCCAGCACTCACAGAATGGCTGATACTATAACTCCCACACCCAGCACTCACAGAATGGCTGATACTATAACTCCCACACCCAGCACTCACAGAATTGCCTGCACTCACTATAACCCCCACACCCAGCACTCACAGATTGGCAGTAAGTTTACCATCCAGGGCTGTGAGCATTCCCTCACTGCTGATAATATGAATTAATAATATTATTGATCAGCCAGTCTGTGCAGTGTATTAATCCCTGGCTGATAACTTTACCCAATAACCTGCCCCCAGGCTCCTACACACAGGCCATCCCTGCCAGCACAGCAGCCCAGCCCGGCCAATGAATGAACAATCAGCCAGCTCAGGCGGTTCCGGGCTCCCAGGGTCTCAGTGATGGTTCTTTACTGCCGCCAGCGTAGCTCCTTAGCTTCTAAAAGCCGAATTCGGCGTAACTGGGATACGTGAATACGGAAAAGGCGTAGGAATAAGGGAGTTTAAAATAAAGGGGGCGTGGTCATATTCATGATCCAATCAACGCTTGGGGAATTCGCCGGAGGGGGGTGTGTCCTCGGAACGAAAAGGAGGCTTGAAACGCGCCGCGCTTTTTTTTTTTTTTTTTAGTTAGTTTCCACGTCAGCAGATGCCGTTAAAACGAATTGACGCTTAGACTTGACGAACCTGACGTGCTCGACGTTGCGTTCCACGCTTTGTAAGAGTACTTGTGTACTTCCTGTTTGTTATTAAGGAGTTGCAACCTCACTCAAGGAGCAATAGATGACTTAAAGGGACACTGTAGTCACCAGAACAACTAGAGCTTAACCCCTTAACCCCTTAAGGACGGAGCCAAATGTACACGTTGTGAACGAAACAAAATGTGAACAAAACCTGGCATTTGCGCTACATGTCTGTCCAACCGTAATTCACCTCTTTCATATTAAATGTACCCACCCTTATTATATATCATTTTATTCAGGGGAAACAGGGCTTTCATTTAATATCAAATATTTAGCTATGAAACATAATTTAATATGAAAAAAATGGGAGAAAATACGATTTTTTGGATTTTTTTAGTTCTACATGACATTTTAACGGTCAGTGTCATAATACGGTTTGCTTTTACTGCAATAAAATACACATATTTGTATTCAGCAAAGTCTCACGTGTAAAACAGTACCCCCTATGTACAGGTTTTATGGCGTTTTAAGTTACAGGGTCAAATATAGCACGTTACATTTGAAATTGAAATTCGCCAGATTGGTTACGTTGCCTTTGGGACTTTATAGTAGCCCAGGAATGAAATTTACACCCATAATGGCATACCATTTGCAATAGTAGACAACCCAAGGTATTGCAAATGGGGTATGTCCAGTCTTTTTTAGTAGCCATTTGGTCACAAACACTGGCCAAAGTTAGCGTTAGTATTTGTTTGTGTGAAAAATGCAAAAACCGCCAATTTTGGCCAGTGTTTGTGACTAAGTGGCTACTAAAAAAGACTGGACATACCCCGTTTGCAATACCTTGGGTTGTCTACTATTGCAAATGGTATGCCATCATAGGGGTAATTTTCATTCTTGGGCTACCATAGGGTCTCAAAGGCAACGTAACCAATCTGGCGAATTTTAATGTGAAAAAAATGAAACACAAGCCTTATATTTGACGCTGTAACTTTTGAAAACACCATAAAACCTGTACATGAGGGGTACTGTTGTACTCGGGAGACTTCGCTGAACACAAATATTTGTGTTTCAAAACAGTAAAAAGTATTGCAGCAATAATATCATCCGTGTAAGTGCTGTTTGTGCGTGAAAAATGCAAAAAACTTCACTTTTACTGGCGATATCATTGTTGTAATACATTTTACTGTTTTGAAACACTAATATTTGTGTTCAGCGAAGTCTCCCGAGTAAAACAGTACCCCCAATTTACAGGTTTTATGGTGTCTTGGAAAGTTATAGGGTTAAATATAGTGCTAGCAAATTAAATTCCCTATACTTTCGGCATGGGTTGTCAGGCAGGTCCCGCTAATTGTAATTAATTAGGATACCTAATTATGTAAAAATATTACATAAATATATGTGTAGAATTAATATATGTATATATATACATATGTGTATATATACATATATATATATAATTTTTTAAAATATTTTTATTTATATATAGGTGTATATATTTAGTGATATATATGTATATATTTATGTATATAGATATATATATTATTTCGTTCTACGTGTATTTTGATATAAATATATATATATTAATATCACAATACAGTTAGAACGAAATAACAAACATCTATATATTTTTTTATTATTTATTTTTAATTATTTTTTTAATTTTATTTTTTTTACGTATTTACATTTTTTTATATTATATATAAATATATATATATAACAATAATTATATATATATATATTTAAATCAGTATTAGTCTACGTGTAATTTGATAGTAATATATATATAAATAATTATATATATTAATATTTAAATACACTTCGTGTATGTGTAAATGTGTGTGTGTGTGTGTGTATATATATATATATATATATATATATATATATATACTTAGATCATATATATGTAATATATATGATCTAAGTATATTTTATATGTAACTGTAATTTTTTTTTTTAACTAATATTTTATTTTTTTTACAGGACAGGGGGAAGAGACAGTGTCAGCCAGTGATTTCACATCACTGGCTGACACACAGGATCAGTGATCACAGTGACTGCCTGTCACTGTGATCACCTCCTGCAGATTGGGTAATTGGCCACAGGGGGGAGTGCCTGGGTGGTACAAGCACTCCCCCCTTCCAATCTGCAGGGGGATCTTTGTGCCAGTTACATGTGTCAGCCAATAGGCTGACACATGTAACACTGATCGCAGTGACAGGCTGTCACTGCGATCAGAGCGCTCTGAGATCGCAGTGACAGCCTGTCACTGCGATCTCAGACTTAGCAGATCGCGGTCACTGACCCCAGGGGGACTGCCTGGGGGGCCAGGTAAGTCCCCCGACCGCGATCTGCACGGGGTAGCCGCTGGCCACGTGTGTCAGCCGATTTGAAATCGGCTGACACACGTTAAAAAACTGATCGCAGTGACAGCCTGTCACTGCGATCAGTGACTGCAGATCGCGGTCACCGGCCACAGGGGGGGTTGCCTGGGGGGCCGGGCATCCCCCCCGACCGCGATCTGCAGCGGGCGAATAGCGCCAGCCACATGGGCGGCCATTAAAGTGAGGGCGTACTATTACGCCCGCCGGCGTTTAGAGCCGGCTCCTGCAGGGCGTAATAGTACGCCCTCCGTCCTTAAGGGGTTAAGTACTGGACTGTTTTTGCGATGTTGTACATTTGCGACCAGGCCTCTTTTTACACTTTTGTGGTGTTTGTGTTTAGCTGTAATTTTCCGCTCTCTCATTTACTGTTCCCATACAAATTATATATATTTTTTTCAGGACAAAAGAGGCTTTCTTTACATACCATTATTTATATAATCTCATGTAATTTAATTTAATTTTAAAAAAATTTAAAAATATGATAAAAAAATACACGTTTTTTTACTTTTACTTGAAAAATCTTTTACTCATCAACAAAAGTGAATGAAAAATAATGCTAAAAAGATTCAAAATGTTGTCCTGAGTTTAAAAATACCCAGTGTTTACATGCTTTTTTGCTATTTTTTTAATAGGGCTATAGGTACAAGTAGGAAATTGCGATTTCAAAACATACATTTTTAAAATTTATCAATAGTGACATTGTAACACCATTATCTGTCATAAATCTCTGAATAACACCCCACATGTATATATATTTTTTTAAAGTAGACAACCCAGGGTATTCAATATGGGGTATGTCCAGACTTTTTTAGTAGCCACTTAGTCGCAAACACTGGCCAAAGTTAGCATTCATATTTGTTTGTGTGTGAAAAAAGTAAAAAACTAAATTGAACGCTAATTTTGGCCAGTGTTTGTGACTAAGTGGTTACTTAAAAAGACTGGACATACACCATTTGCAATACCTTGGGTTGTCTTCTTTTGCAAATGGTATGCCATCATGGAGGTAATTCTCATTCCTGGCTACCATAAGCTCTCAAAGGCAACGTAACCAACCTGGCCATTTTCAATGTAAAAATATTTGACCCTATAACTTTAAAAAACGCTATAAAACCTGTACATGGGGGGTACTGTTATACTCAGGAGACTTTGCTGAACACAAATATTAGTGTTTCAAAACTGGAAAACATATCACAACAATTATATCATCAGTAAAAGTGCTGTTTGTGTGTGAAAAATGCAAAAAAAGTCACTTTCACTGACAATATCATCGCTGTGATATGTTTTACTGTTTTGAATCACTAATATTTGTGTTCAGCAAAGTCTCCCGAGTAAAACAGTACCCCCCACGTACAGGTTTTAGGGTGTCGTAGAACGTTACAGGGTAAAATACAGTGCTAGCAAATTAAATTTTCTAGACTTTTGGCCTCAAATTACAATCAATAAAATTCCTTAATTATGTAAAAATATTACATAAATACGCACGTAGAATTTAAATATATAAGCATATTTATATATTTGAAGTCTACATGTATATTTCGTATTATTTTTATTTATTTATATATACATAGATATATATACAATTTCATTCTAAGTGTATTTTGATATAAATATATATTAATATCAAAATACAGTTAGAATAACATTCCATATAGATATATATATATTTTGTAATTATTATTTTTACATTTTTTAATTTAATTTAAATTATTTATTATTTGTATTTTATAATATATATATACAATATATATAGTTATTATTATATATACGTGTGTAATTTAATTATAAGTGTATTTTTATATTAATATATGTACATATTAATATAAAAATACACTTAGTATGACATTATATATATGATATATAGACATTAACATGTATTTTTATTTTTATTTTACACTAGCAGGGAGACAGCCTGTCAGCACAGACAGTCCCCCTGCAGGCAGACACATGGACACCTATTGTGACCATGTGATTGCTCTGCTGAGCGATCACATGGCCCCAGGGGTCCTAATCCGCCGTGGGGAGACTATCTGGGCTGCAGGCAGTCTCCCCACACTGGGAGCACCGCCGATCGCTGCCAGGGAATCGACGGCGATCGGGTAAGTACATCTGACCGTTAGGACGGTTCAGGACCGTCAGCGGTCGGCAATGCAAAAATGCCGATGGCGGTCCTGAACCGTCCTCGGTCCTTAACCCCTTAAGGACCAAACTTCTGGAATAAAAGGGAGTCATGACATGTCACACATGTCATGTGTCCTTAAGGGGTTAATATAGTTGTTCTGGTAAGTATAGTCAGTCCCTGCAGGCCTTTTAATGTAAACGCTGGCTTTTTAGAGAAAATAAAGTGTTTGCATTGGTGCCTAGTAACGCCTCTAGTTGCAGTCGACCACTAGAGGTGCTTCCTGTGATGTTCAGCATTTCGACGCTCTGCACGGAGGTGCTGAAC